TATTTTGCCTTATTGTAAAACCATCTTTCAAGCAATAAATATCTTTTTATTTTTTATTCAGGAGATGACAATAGCGTGGTGTTTAAAGAGAGCTGAATTGGTCTTCAAATGTGTCAAAGGTTTCATGATGGAAATGACAACATGGGGTGGCAACGACTCAAGAACAATACAGTTTGTTGTTCCCAAGGTAACTGTAAAAATCTATTTGATTAGATTGACCTATGATCTGATCCTTAAATGTCACAATTTTCCAAACTTATGATTTTTTGTAAAATTGAGTGAGTGTGAGGAAACAACTTAATCTTGACCATGTGACTCAAATGTACCTCTGGTTTCTGTATAAAGTTTGCGACTGTGCCACTAATGTCTAGTTTGTACAAAACCAGCCTGAATACATAGATCATTTTTCGCATGCAAGACGCCTGCTTTTGTCATGGTGTCAAACACAAATATGTCAGTCTGCTGATATTCTGTAAAAGGGAATCTTATTGGTCACGTTGATTGGTAACCCACAAGCATATTATATATTCGGCATGTTCATATGCTCAGTGGCATATCTATGACTTCCAGGAAAGTGGTCTATTCAGAAATGTTAATTTTTGGCCTGCCCAAAAAGGCTTTTTTTTTAACTTGTCCTGGCATAACACCTGTATGTGCAGATTCATTTGCAGGCTATTAACCAGTTTTTGCTAAAATGACTTGTATGTATGATCTTTTTTTTGTAGTCTATATCTGAAGACTTATTCATGCAGCTAAGTTCTATGCTACCACAGATATTCAGGATTTCCTCAACAGTGAATTTAACAAGACAGAAATAACCGTGACAGAGTTGGAACTCTGAAGCATCACACACTAAATGTGTTTCTAAGCAAAAAAAAAGAACTATGACACATTTGTTTTTTCCTGACTTCTCAAAAATGGTTTATCCTCTGGTGACAGTCTGCAAAATAGAACTGATGGATTGACCTCTATGCGTGCATGTTTGCGTGTTTGCGTTCGGACCTATATCTTAGACATGCCTGGACAGATTAAATTCAAACTTCACACATAGCTCATACATAATATTATACATATGCACATCAATCTGATTCAAGATGGCCGAATGGCAGCTATTTTTGTGCTGAAAATTCATCGAAATCAAGCATGTCTCCCTGTTTATAGATAAATTTTGTTTAAACTTTGTACATAAATTAGATATTATGGGACCCTGACTATAAACTATATATCTTAAATTTGATGACTAACAGAGACTTTGCCATGCATGGCTTGTTTCATTATGTGATAGTCCTGCTCAGGTGGCTTTATTATTGTAACAGTGTTTATTTTTATTAAAAATATTGGTATATTTTGTGCAATTATAATTTCATTTCATCAATGAAAAAGATACATTGCATATATTTAATGGAAGTTATTACAAATAAATGTATTGTGCAATACAATAAAAACATCAGAATAACTGTGTTATGTTGTGATTTGTCATGTGAAGTAATAAATGGGGTAAAACGTGGTAAAAATTGAACAATACTGTAAAAGCATGCTGCTATATTAGCCTATACATCATCTGAAAGCTTAGATACAGGTAAATACAGTTAATATGTAGGGATTACCAAAATATATTTCCTTGTCTATGGTTTTTGCCATGTGTTCTAATGTAATATAAATATTTCAGAAAACGCATACTTGTTGGTGTTTTCTTAGAACTACAACACTGGCAAATTTCTATGAAAATTAAAATCATACAAGACAAAGATGATACCACAATGGTATGATTTGTATATTATTGGTAAATGTTTTTTTTAAATTGATGGCCATGTCCCACCCACCATCATGCATAAAAATAGTCTAAGAGCAAATTCGGTAGATGAAATAGTGCAGTTTAATATATACAATATATAACATTAATTATAATCTTGCTTATATGTAATTATATATATTAAACAAATTATCTCTGGACGAAACAAAAAAGAATATAAACAATCAATATTGTAAATTACAAAATTTAATAGTAATTAACAGTAAATATTTGTACGATGGTAGTATTAATAATATAATGCAATATTTTAAAATGTATGATTAGTTTTTGTTTCTAAAAAAAAAAGTTTTTTCATAAAAAATTCACAGAAGCTGTCTTTATTTCTGTATATAAGCAAAATATTATGGCATGATGTTATTATAATAATGAATTCAATAAATTAATCTGACATGTCGATTTAATTTATTTGAATGTCAAATCTTTAAATATATTTTGCAGCAGTTCTTGATAAATTGTTAATAATTATTTCCTTTTTTGAAATGGTACATTGTTTGTTTCTTTAGAAACGTGACGTATCTCTTCCCCATAGCAATGCTTTCAACCAATCCATTGGCACCTGCATACGTAATCTCCAACTACCAAGGCGAGTCAAATAAGCTGATCTCCATAGTAACCATGAATGGAATCCTTAAAAAGAATCAAAGAAATACAATGTAGTATATGGAGAAGTGACAACTGCAGAGGCCAGGGTCATATGAGAACAAGATATTACAGACATTTACTGTTACAGTAACTTAATTTTTAAGCGACAATATTTCATTTCAAAATCTGTCTATAATTATTCGTTTCAGTATTATTTTACAGTATATAAGACTTAATTCACTGTCAATATGTTTTTTGAGAAAAAAATGGCATGCATAAAATGGCATTTTTAGCAGTGGTTATCATAGACCACAATAAAAACACATTTCTTCATTAAAAACTCACAAAAAATATTGTCATTTTTATACATGAACAAGTACATTCAACACTACATCATTTTTGTTACCCTATGTCACCAACCCACAATTTTGAGATGTATGTTGTCATAGGAAACGATGATACATGTAAAATGCCTGAAACGCAGAACATGCCACGTTCACTAAATATTTTGATTTTTCAGATCCAAATACAGTGACATCACATTATTTTACTTTCTTTATCCTCATTACATGAAATTTAACACATGTAAAAATAATTTAAAGAAATTGACATTATTTTTATCGCTGAGTAGCATTCAATCGTAAGACAGCTAGTCGCGGTCACTCACAAGTTCTTCAAAATTATCAAACCATGAATGCAGTTAAACTGTTCCACAATACCTTGTGCTTTGACAGCTGGTGTGTCAGTCAGTGCTTGGTACTTCCCAATGTATGCTAGCATTCCCATGCTTTGATATTGGAATGGTTTTGTCTCTTTGCCGCTATGTACATCAGATAATAATTCAGCCAAGTATCGACCTTCTCTTTCAGCAACCTTACAAATAGTGAGCATATAGATGAACTCTATGTTCTAGATATGGATTTACATATTGACACACTGCATTGTTTTTGTTGCCAGTAATTGATCCCAATGTTCAGTACAATACAAGTTGCACATGTAAATAAAGTCTACCAAAGGGTTCCATGAATCATCTGTGTGTTAATGCAGTATGCATGGAAGTACATAGACTGATTAAATTTAGTGATTACAATCGCACATGGAGAGAAACTGGCATGGATACCACAAAAACAAATAGCAAGTCGGCTATTTTTGATCAAATTTCATATCAAATAGCTATGACACATGGCAAGGCATATACTTATGATTAAGGTGCTTATTATCCATGCTGTACATGGTAGGGTGTTTTTTTTTGAGTTGTACATTGGTGAGGTGTTTATTTACTTGTATTGTACATCGTTTAGTGTATACATGTATAATAACGTATTTATTTACCTGTATTGTACATGGTTAGGTGTTTATTTACCTGTATTTTACATCATAAAGGGTTTATTTACCTGAGCTGTACATGGTAAGTTATTTGCTTCAATATCTGCACAGTCTCCTATTGCGTATATACACCCTGTAGGATCACCTTTGACCTTGAGAAAAGCATCAGTAATTAGCTGGCCTTGGCGATTCTTGGGAAGATCCAGACTTTTGATAAATGGTCTGAAAATTAAAAAGATAGACCATACTATGAGCTCTTGTTCAATTACTTTCAATCAACTATGAGATGTTATTATCATAGCTGAAGTACGAAGTACATGTATACCAAGTGAGATTTATTTTTTTGATAAAGAGAATGGCTAACCAGCATTACATGCAATTGTCAAAGGAATTTAGTTTCCACTTGTAATTAGAAGTAATTTGTGACTTATAACAGAGATAAAGTGTAATATTGCGAGAAACAGTATTTATAGTGAGTGTGTACGTGCGAAAATGTATCAATATTGAGCAACACTATTTATTACAGGTAATACTACTAGCGTTTTTAATTAATATGCAAATGTACCATGAAAATCATCACAAGAAGATATTAAATGGGCACAAAGCAAGGCGTTTAACAACTGTATAATAGTAAAATATTACAAATCTGTGTAGTTTTGTTGTCAATATCATTAATGATTACATGAGTTTATATCTAAAAGTTATGAAAAACGACAACATTGCAGAAAAAATGTTAACTCAGGATTCAGCATTGTGCTTAGTGTGTAGCTATCCGTTAACCCCAGGTCAAAAAAATAACGCTGGGCTTAACAATATTACTGCAGCTAAAACCATAGGACATCACAGTTATCACAGTTGCTCATATGATAATTTAATATATACACTTTTTATGTAATTTCCAGTGAAACGATGAGTTCTATTGTCCACATGAATTCAATTTAGGCAAGTTCACTCGTGAATAAAAAGCATATTAATTAGATTTTAGAAAAAAATGATATTTTGCAGCTAGCTGTATGGGGGCAGTACACATTTTTCTCACAGCTCACCTTGGTGATAGTCCTGTAGACCATACAATTAATCCTGCTGGTAGAAATGTTCCATCAATCAGTGTTACACCCTCTGATGAGACCTCTAGAAAAGACAAGATAAATTATTGATTAATTTATTTAAAAAAACAGCAATTCTGGAAAAACTTTCATTATTTTGAAACTCACAGATAATTATGATATAAGTTGATATAAAGCTGCTACTGAATCAATGAATTTGTTAAAACCAATAAAAGGTGACGTGGGGGGGGGTGAACATAATAAGACTTAGACAAATGCTGGGTGTATATTAGTTTCATGAAGAACGTGCATTTCTTGTTAGAATGAATTTTGAAATCTAACTGAGACCCTGAAAACACAAAATTAGATTGAAAATAAAACCATTATGGCCACTAGTGGGCCATTTGAATTAAATCTAAAGAATACAGCGTGCACCAGTAGTTAACCTATCATGTAGTATATCATGTGTGAAGTATGTCTAAGAAACATTTACCAACAAAATCACATATAGTGCCTAAAGTCAACTTGTCAGAATACAGAAAATCCATATATAAAATAAATTCTTTCATTAACCCTAGTTACTACCCAAGATATGCATTCCTACCTTGTATTATATGCAGAACATCTTCTACTGATTACTATTCTAAATAAATCCTAAAATATAAGACCACTGAAGCTATCCTGAACTGAAGGTTGAGTCGTTTAATCACCAAGTCAAATACAATTTTTATAGGTGTAATCACTCACAGCCACTTATTTCACTTTAGAAGTGTTTCTAAAATTGATTTCAGGATTCTGTTGGGTACGATTTCTCATGAACTGTATAATCCTAAACCTTTAAGATGGTTCCAGGAGTCCGTGAGAGGATAACAATCTGTTAATTTAGGTCATACAAAGTAGTAATGCAAATTTAAAAGAAAATTAGCCAACTATCCCTAGTCTGCAAATAACAATCTGAAATTCTGTCTCTGTAGTGCATCATAACCACAGTGATAATAGATACAATTAGAGTCAGCGTGGTATGCCCATACCTGTGACAACAGACTGTAACAGTTTCATCTGACTTCTCTGCTTTATCTTCTTCTCAGCATACTTCTGTAGTCTTTTATCAAAACTCGCTAATATCTGATTTCCTTCTATCAATGTAACGCTCACATCACCCTCGTCTTTTGAATATAAGCGTGAAACATCCTAAAATAAGAAAATAGAAATAATATCATTTTTCTTAACATATACTCAGTCTGGTTTTCTGATATTTTACTGGAACATATTAGAACTGAAACCTGTCGCTGCAAGCGTCAAGAATCAAGTTCCAGTTAAGCACAATTGAGTGCTTTGTTTTGGTGTAAGTTAGCATTATACTATGTATTAGCAAGCTTAACATCAGACCTAAATGAATGTGTACAATTGTTGTAAAGTTTCAGTCTTGAAAAGCTTGAGATAGATATACAAAACAAACAACTGATTAACGTTTTAAATGCCATAATTTTCCCCACCGAAATATTGTTGGGTCGTTTTGCAGAATTCTATGTATTTTGCTTGGGTTTATGTTGCCTGCTGTCGCATACGAGTTATTTACCACTTCCGTGTCACTGAGAATGTTCTAGAACCGTACTGTGTTTGGGTGGAATATTCTAGATTTTTTTTAGAAACTGGTTGAATAGGTAATAGAACACTGTAGGAGGCAATAGAAGGTAATGGAACATTCTAGAAATTTGTAGTAAGTTCCAGACTCATTATGTATGCTGATGTACTATACCAATTACGGTAATATTACGTTGCATGTGACACCTGCAGCTCTTCAAGATTTTTGGAAAACAATTAGAAACAATATATATAAACCATCTATCCACCCATTATTTTATGTGGAAATAAACAATTTCAACCATTGTAATTATTGTTTACCTGTTTTATGAAATCATAAAGTTCAGCACCAAACTCAACTCCAGTGGGTCCGCCTCCTACAATAACAGTGTGCAATAATTGTTTACGCTTTTTATATCAACACCAGGCTCAAGAGCTAGTTCAAAGTTGTCTAAGATCCGGTTTAGTATCTTACGGGCATCACTTATCTCCTATAAAAATAATAAAAAATCAAATAAATGTTTATTGCTCAATGAATCAATGTATATCACTTGATGAATCACTGTGTATCACTCAATAGATTAATATTCTTCACTCAATGAATCAACGTAGACCACTCAATGTCCACCACTAAACAAATCAATGTTTATTACTCAATGAATCAATGTTTATCACTCAATGAATGAATCGTTATCAGCTAATGAATCATTGTTTGTCACTCAATGAATGAATGAATTAATGTGTCGCCCAATAAATCAATGTACACCGCCCAATAAATCAATGTGTATCACCAAATGGATCAATGTTTGTCACTCAGTGAATGAATATCTGTCACTCAATGTATCAATGTTTGGCGCTCAATGAATGAGTGTCCATTACTCAATGAATCAATGACATTTAAATATGTTCAAATATTAGAATATTACGATGACATATATAATGTAGGTTATATACCAATTTAACACATTTTTTCAAAAATCTGGCAAAACATATTGTTGAATGTATTGGCTACTTGTATGTGAATGAAATGAATCAAAACATGCAGGCATACACCTTACAAAAAATGTATATATGTTAGTATGGACAAATTGGATGCAAACTGATATTATAATAGTACTTAGTATTCTAGTTCTGTCTTTGCCTGAACAAGACTGAAAGTTGTGTAATTAAATCCAAATTGTTCAAGTATAATTAGCAAATTCATGATGTTACCATGTGACCATTTTCCAATCATTGTGGCCTTATTTTAAATTGACAATTATTAATAATCTCATCCATGTATACACATGTGAGAAAACATTGAATATTGCTGATTTAAAAGCAATCATGTTCGTTACCTGATACTGAGCAGCACATATACACATACCGACCATGACCCTCCAATAAAAATGCTGTGTTACGCTGCATGGTACAGTATTATAGCGTATTATAGAGCTGCTTTTTAATTACCTTAAGAAAGAATGCATACTCTTCAACTCCAGGCACACCAAATGTATTTGGCAATGCACCAACACCAATGGCTAGTTTATCATACTCTACATCATAGGTATGATCTGATAACAGCATACTTGCACATTTTACAACCTACAATATAAAATATTAAAGTCTCATTATTAAAATTAAAAATATATGTAAAAAAAATTATCATACATCAAGATGCGTTCAGAACTATTGCCAGTTATCAGTAGATATAAGAACTAATGGAGTTCCAAATAAATTAGTCGACAAAATCATTTGACGTGTAGAATCATTTGTGGCAATGTGATAGTAAAATTCAGTGAAGCATGGAGTAATCTGTTGTAATAATACAAGAATACAAATAGACATGTATTACAAGAAAGTGGTTGGAATAGTGGTTACATTGTAATACAGAATACATCCCAATACATGTAATAAAGCAGAGAAAAATTATGTTACACGGTAATACATAATTTAAGTAAATGTATTAAAATGAGGTGGGAACAGTAAGTGTTTACAATGTAATACATAATACAAGTAGACTGTATTACAATGAAGTGAGAGAGAAAACAGTGAGTCAATATTACAAGTAGACTTAATGAAGTGGGAGGAGTCAGTGGTTACAATGTAATACACAATATTAGCTGACTATATTACAATGAAAGTAGTGGAAATACAGGTTACAATGTAATGAATAATATTAGCAGACTTTGTATCACAGTGAAGGTAATGGAAACACAATTACAATATAATACACAATAGTAGCAAACTTTGTATTACAATGAAGGTAGCGGAAACTGAGGTTACAATGAAATACATGATCTAAGCAGACTTTGTATTACAATGAAGGTAGACAAAACACTGGTTACAATGTAATACATGATCTAAGCAGACTTTGTAATACAATGAAGGTAGACAAAACACTGGTTACAATGTAATACATGATTTGAGCAGACTTTGTATTACAATGAAGGTAGCGGAAACTGAGGTTACAATGTAATACATGATCTAAGCAGGCTTTGTAATACAATGAAGGTAGACAAAACACTGGTTACAATGTAATACATGATCTGAGCAGACTTTGTATTACAATGAAGG